GAGATGTGACAGATGTCCAGGGAAAATTCCCGCGGATCTTTACTCAGGTCATATGACCAACCAGGGTTCACCTGTTTACTTATGTCTAAGCGGAACATGTACCACGAGAGAGCATGGTCTGACTGTGAGGGCAGAACACCGAGGATGGTTCACGCGCTCGATTAGAACGGAATCACAGCTTACAAGAACGATTGGCGGTTTTGAGTTATTTTGAAAGTCCCTTAAGTAAATCGACAAATGAGTTTGTTATCTGGAGGAACATTTGTAATCACCGGAACGTGATTTCACGATCATGTAAGAAGGCTTGTTGATGTTCGAAATTGTATAGAGGAAGAGACACACTGGTGAAATGGGTTGGGTTAGCAGTTAGCATACATCATAATAATCGCAGTAGCCTGAGCGGTAAAAGTTGTATCCGTTGATAGACAACCTTTTAGTTGTGTACTATTTTTCCAAATGACTGGTCAGATTGGATCACGGCGCAGGGGATCCGCCAACTCTAGAGGGTGCGATGGCGGTGAATTGTCGTTACAGAGTGGTACTATCGGAAGTGTGTTAATTTCACTAGCTATAGACCAAGGAGAACAACGTCAGAAGAAAGGCTGCCAATAAATTAGCAAAGTGTTTCAAGGCAAGAGATTACTGTCACTATTTCTGCTACAGATCTGCGAATCTGGGTCGTGGTTTCGTCTACATGAACAAAAATGTTTTCCGGAACATGTCGTAAGTAGTTCCCAGCGTTGACAATTACACGCGAAGCAATCTCAAATGTTGGCAAAGGTTCAAAGGATTATTTCAAAATAGCATGTTTAGGTCGGTGGTGCTTGAGTCATCTGGTTACCTAAACCAAATTCTTGCGGGCATTCTCCGGACTAGTTTTTGGCAATATCAATTTTAAGAAACACATCGTTAGTGCACCGTATCGGTTTAAATCCCAGTGGACTATATCAGTATGCACTGCTGCAGATTCCTGGCAAATGGAATTAGTATGTCCCAGTAGGATAACCGTCCGTTTTCAGTTCGTTTTCAATGTACTGTAGTTCAGATGCGATTTTCGAACCGAATAAACGCAACCTACTCGAGATGGATGTACCTAAACTGTTCAGTTGGGACAAGACGCGCATCTTCATCTGGATGCTTGCACCACCTCCCCGCTCATCATCCCGTCACTTATATGGCACTGTGAAATCTCACATTTTCTATCAGACTTGGTTCCTAACACGCACGACAGAGGACACATGTTACGCGATGCACATAGTGGAATTAATTCAAAGGACTGATTGTTCGTTGCTGGTTTGACAGTTCGAATCGAGTATGGTTTGCTTTTATAGTGCACACTAGTCGATCAAAGACCACGAACATATGTATTGTATTGTCCAAAATCTGGGAGCCGAAAAAAGCTGATCGTCACAATTGTCTGTTGCTTGATTGCTAAATATTTCCCAAATCGACTTGCATAAAGCGTTTTCTTTGGCTTTCGGTAGATAGTCCAATTTCGGAGGGGACAGATGAACCGTTAACTAAACTGTGGATCCATTCCTGATTCACATATCTATTTCAGAGTGTTAACAAGGTAAAAAGGGTGGAGAGTGGTCTCTGAACTTATTAAACTTCTTTATTGAAGCACGTTGCCGTGAACCGCTTTTTGGGCGTGTATACACATGCAAACAATGTTATCTGGTAAACAAAATCATTCAAGGTCGAAACAAATACGGATATACTGAGACCAACTGAGTTTCCCAATCTGATAGAAAGCAAGTGTTTGCCAATTTTCCCATTCTCGACTCGAGGTTCGAATTCGCTAAGCGAAGTATTCATCGGCCTTTTTCTCGAAGTATAGGATAAAAATTTAACCGTACTATTTATTCCAAGGGATTGTTGGTGTGAAAGGTAGTGCGGAGGAAGAAGAACTTTTTAACGAGCTGTTTGCCCCGAACGGACAAACTGTTGGATCAATGCCATTGTTCAACTCATTGAGCAGATTAATATACCATCTACTAGTTCTTCAGTCCACTAAAGTTCGATACTAACAGATTATCAAGGAATGGTTACCAAGTGACACTTTCCGGTAATTTCTGATTAGTCGAAGGAACTATAGGGTACTTGACCGATAAAATATTTATTACTAACCACTACTGTTCGATAGTGAGGGTCAATGTAATGGCTTGTAAATTGGACCGTTCACAGCAAGAGTAGTCAATTGAGTTTGGGAATGCACACCCCACTAGTGTGCGCGATAGACTAACAGCAATCAAGACCCTGTTTCATCATCGTTGGGAATACAGTCTCTGAACCTCATATAACGTTAGTGAAATTTAACATGGACTCTCATTGTACACAGAAATATCCAAACTATTATTGCTCCATTATACTTCTCATTTGTCCATTATTCTTACCGTGTAGTATGGCTATACAATTGTTACGCAATTATTCAACTGCCTTCATATTTTGCAGTACTTTTGCTGCACGCTAAATGATGGACAATATTCAGTCTCACGCATGTCTCAAATCGCTGTTATCAGTCAAACATCCCCATGGACTGTGGTGTCTGAATACCGGAAAGCGTAAAATTTTTATTCGTCAAAATCTGTCGCAAACCGTTACAGTGCTTCGTGCTGAACGCATTCATTTAAGTCAGTTCGCCGAGCTTGGCATCTTGATTACAAGCGTTTTAGCGTCAGTCGAGGGGGCATATACAGTATCTGTAGGATGGTGGTGTTCTACTTTTATCCGTTCGTTTGCACATGCCCTTCTTCGCCTATTTTCGGTCCCTTGTTCCCCGTGTTCTCAATGATGTTCGCTGTGAAAATGGTACGAAGAGTAGGAAGTTTTTATTGTCTGGATTGTATTCATTAGGTCCGTTAACCGGTTGCGGTGGAACCTCTCTTTCATTGCATCACCTTGTAATGTACACACGACCCGTTCCGATGTGAATCGAAGGCTACCAAGTCCTGAAAAGTTGTGTGGTGCACGTTTACCAACGATTCTCATTGATCTAAAGTGAAATTTCTGTTCGTATTGTTGTGCATTTTGTGAAATAAGTGAGGTTGGTCCACGCCTACTGTTGACTGTTGCTAGTGCTCTTCCACTTTGTACATGCTGTTTATTCTGTAGACAGCGTTACTGTTTTCATTGTTGTTTTCTTCTTTGGTTTCGAAAGAACTCTCTGTGCTTAGGCGGTCGATTTGTCGGAAACCTAGATTCCATAGTGTTTAAGCAGTCTCGCTTTCATTTCCGAAATATCCTTCATGTACGGTACAATTGTTCTTGTTCGTAATTCTTCGTCCGTTGTTTGTTGCCTTCGTTTGATCGTAGTTAGTTTGATGAAGTATATATATATATAGACGAACATCAAATTTACAGTAGAGATGGAGAACGAACACCTACTAGTATTTTCGGAGATGTTTATCACTAGATTGACATTGTGGATCCTGGAAAAAATGAATCATTACAAAGCAGCTCAGATCCTAAAGTTTGGTACTAATTTTTTAAACCTGCAAACTGCGTTATATCAGGGCCATATTCGGAAGAATTTAAACACACTGTAGCACAGACGAGCTTAAAAAGACAGGAAATTTGTTGCATCCCGGTGTTCGGTCGTAACGTGACCTGATGGTCTTGGCAGAATATTTAATTATAAGTAGTATGTATTATCAAATATTCTGCCAAAGCCATCAGGTCACGTTTGCTGTGGTTAGTAGCATCTAACCCACTTACAAAACATCGAATCATGGTATTGATTCTTCATTGGACTTGCTCTGAAAGAGCTGTCTATTCAACGGTCACCCAGTGTTGCAAACAAAGTTATTTTGACAAAGATACATTTCTTTGGTACAAGTATATGAATGAACTGGCAAAAGATTACCGGATATGCATGCCTGACGAGCGGCAAGAACCGCGAAACTGGTTGTGTGCTTCGAGGAAAAACGTAAGACACTTGCATGCATCGCACACAAGTAGGGCTAGCACAACAACATGTCCAAGTAAAACGGAACCAGTTATGTTTCATATAATTTCCACTGAATCAATCAACCGAAAAATTAACCATGATATTCATTTAATAGACTGGCATGATTTGAGGGCGGAATAATGTCATATATATACCAATCGTGCAACAGCGAAATATTTTCGAGAGCATCTTGGAAAAATGCAGAAGGTAAACTATTAGCTACCAGTTATGCATGTATATCAGTGTGAGGAACAAAATTTAAATTTCTTTTCCGCTCAAACCGAACATGCGCATGATGTACAGATCGATTGGTGAACCGTGGACGGTGGTAAATCAACCGAAAGAAACGCTCATAGATAATATAGATTAGTGAGAATGTGGGTGGTTGTATACGGAATTAGTAGCAGATAGTGATTTCTATTGAGGCAGTCCGTAAAGATACAGAATGAAACTGTGATTGTTCGAGTACAGCTGAACATTATGTTCATAGTCCATCACGTACATGTGATGAAAACCGGCGGTGGACTTTGTTGAAACCTGTCGCGGAGATCAGTTGTACACAATTGCAACTGTACCCGCAATCAGCTGTCGGAATTTCCTGGCAACGAGGAACAGGAAGAACGCTAAAAATAGCTGTTGGTTTGTTGGAAAGAACCAAAGAGAATAAATAATATGTAGAGGATGATTATCCTAGACTGTATAGACAAATCAATATTTGTTATCTTCCAGTCATTGCGTTTCTAAATGAGCCATCAGTAATTTGATAGATCCGTAATACAGGTTTCTAGTTGGCTATTCCTCTGCTGGCGCTACTTCGGAACGTTGGGTCACCACATTTAATCGACGGAAAGAAAATGGATAGCGATTCAGTTCCAAGTCTTTCATCACCCTTACTGAAAATGTTTCTAGATAATTAATTTACTTTATTCACTGTGCGCTCGAAATGAATTCATTATGGGAGTACAGCATTAATTTTTTACTCGCCCGCTGATTTATTTTCAACCTCAAATGATCATCACTTATTGATCTGCCTTTATTTCTTACCCAGATCTCAAATTTGATAGACCATTTTTTTAAGACCGATCTCGAATTTGTACTGGTCGCACACGTGTTCCGCCAGATCGATACAGCTAACGGACATGATTGATCGGTCCACTATTTGAGTCAAACTGTCTGTAAAATACGCGTGCACACTTTACAGTACACGGTATTTGATTCGCATGTGGACAGTGAGTCACAATCATATTTGGTGAAGTGATCTGAAACAAGAACATATCCGGTTGCTCTGATGTTGCTTGTACCGATTTTATCGTTAACCAACTTTTGTCAAAAAGTGAATAATTTACTCGAGTTGAACAAACAGTTCAATTTAAACTCATTTTAGACAGAGATACAGAATGAGTGTAATATTTTGTGTGTTTTACCCGTTTTCCTTAACAAAGAAGCAACGAAAAGCTGATTGATGCGATTGCAAGTAAATAACAGATGACAATAGTTATCTAAATTGTGTCGTTCGGCAGAGTTAAGTAGTATGTTTGTGTTGTGAAGTGTTCGGTAGCCCCGGTCGGATTGGGACTCATACATGAATGCTTTGCACAATGCTTTTGTACAACGCACGCTCTACCAGCTGAGCTACGAGGCCACACCGATAACACTGATCCTCTTAGCTCAGCGGGTAGACCGTGCGCTGTACCAAAGCGAGGGGGAAGTTCATACGTGGGTTCGAATCACACCAACGCTACTGAACTTTCCAAAATTCAAACACAACACTTGAATCCGTCAAACAACTTCAAGTGAACAATTTAATCTACCTCAGAATTTCTGCCAGTGGGTTCCGGTGGATTCTAAGGAAAGTTTGTCGTGACAGTCAGCTTGCATGCGAACTGGTCCGATGGCGGTCAATAAACCGACACAACAGATTGGTTGTTAACTGAAGTTACGTCATTCCAAGACATTTTAATGAGTCATGACGCACGATCATAATTCGCCGTGGAAACCGTATGCTATGCTGTCATTTGACCATCATTCAAATGGATAACATCAACTTCGATACCGCGTGTGACGCTCACACGGGGGCACTTGAGCTGTTCCCATAGATCAAATAACCTCGGCTTTTCTTCACAGAAAGCTCTTCAGCTTTATACCCGTGGAACGAGGCGCCAGTATTCGGGAACTCATAGCTAACCATGTGGATACCGCACACTTGAGCGCAGATGAACATCTCTGTTTCAACCACAAGATTTGCCACGGGCTTGGGTTCCTCGACATGTCCGAAATCGATTGTAAACTGTGCACTAATTGACCGGTTTCGTTTCAGACCATAACATTTATACATTCTCCGAACATGATGTTTCCATTGGCCGATTGGTGGATTGCTCTTCTACACGTGTCTCTTCACACCTCTAATCCCAGCGCAGGTCCATACGTGACAGCCTGACCACTCACACATTCATATTTCGACAAATTTGATTCTATACACTGGTTAATTATACCCGTCCCTAACGCTAGTCTACAGTAGCGTTCACTGTCCGTCACCTGAATACGTGTTTTTGCTGAGATCTGTTTTA